GTTGTCTGTCTCCGACCCTGTTTAAAATATATATTCAATCATCGCTAGAGCAGTGGAGAAAACAAGTATCCGGAATGGGAATAGACATAGGCGGTGGTGAATGTCTAACAGCTTTATTTTTCGCAGATGATCAGGTAGTCGTAGCGAATGACGAGGAAGACATGGACTACATGTTTAGAAAACTAAAGAAAGAATATGAAAAATGGGGCCTCAATATGAATATGGCAAAGACAGAGTATCTTAAAATAGGAGATGGTGAAGAAGATCCAGAGTTAGAAATTAGAAACACAAAAACATGCAATGAATATAAATATCTCGGATCTATAATATCTAAAGAAGGCACTACCAAAAGAGACATCGAAAACAGAACACAGCAGGGAAAAAAAGTGGTAAACATTCTAAACTCTCTACTTTGGTCTAAAGATATTAGACAAGAAACGAAATTGACAATCTATCGAACCTTGGTAGAGCCTATTATGACTTATGGGGTAGAGGTTTGGCAGAAACGCAGAAGGATAGAAAAAGAATAGAAGTAGTAGAAATGGATTTTCTAAGGAGAGCGTGTGGTATATCCAAAAAAGATCACATCAGGAATAAAGATATTAGAAGGAGGACAAATACTGTATATTCCAGTGTAGATAGAATTGAAACGAGACAACTAGTGTGGTATGGTCACGTGAAACGAATGAATGAAGATAGATGGCCAAAGAAAGCTTTAAATTACATACCACAACAAAGAAGAAGAGGGGGAAGGTCTTCAGTTGCCTGGGAAGAAAATGTACGGCACATAATGAGAGATAGAGCCATCAGAGAAGACGAATGGATGGACAGAAAACGATGGCGGTCGAAATGCGAGAAACGGCAGAGGCTGTAGGAACCTCGCTTATATATATATATATATATATATATATATATATATATATATATATATATATATATATATATATATATAATATATATAAATTAGTGTTTTATATAAAACTTAAGAGGTCGCTGATTATAAAGAAAAGATAATTAATTATAAAGAAAAAATGTAATATTTATTTGTAAATAAACAAGCGAAAAATAGCAACTATCAATTGTAAATAAATTACGAAATTAACTGGTCTTACTCATTATTGTTATCTCTACAAAGAACATAGACTTACCCTCTGAAATATTGATGTCGTAAGATTCTTAGCCAGAGGAATCTCGCTGGCACCACGTCGGGTCGCCCGAGTACTCCGAGGCTGTATAGCACGAAAACCGATAAAACTGGTCCGTCTCGCTCGCTGTCTTGCAATGAATTTCGAAGTACGTTGAGATGGTCAGAATTAAGGAACCCTCTGACCGTTACGTGGTGCTCCAAGAGGGTGTATCAATAAATAATTCTATTGTATTACGACTCTCAGTGGCGATAATCTAAGTTAATTGTCACGGTGATACGAAACCTTACGCGACACAAAATACAAAGGAGAAAGCCAAATTCTCCGTACTTAAAACATGATAAATGAGTTAATTACTATTAAACTGGGAATAAGCCACAATTAAAGATAAAAATACGTTTATTGACGTTTCAATTTCCACTTCGGAAATCGTTCTCAAAATACAAACAGTAAATTAAACAAATTTTGTTTTTTGTTACATAGTGAAAAATTCTTCTAATAATTTAATTTTATCTGACTCATTTATATTGACAATTCAGACATACATTATGCATTTTAAAGTAGACGACTTTAAAATGATATTGCCAATATTGTTGAGTTGTGCTCCTGGGACGACTTTACTTATAAGATAGTTCATTCGATTACATGAAATCAACTTTAACTTGAGAATATCCGTCAGAAAAAAATCATAGCATGTAATTCGTCTTTAAAAAGACAAACACATGACATGATGACAGTAAAATTGTCCTGTTAATGATTCCATAGTAAATTATGAGGAAAAACCAGGAAAAAAACTTCATAATACTATCCCGACATTGTAAGTATTTGTTCGTGAATTTAGTTTACCTTCAACAAACATCAAAATTCTGATTTTATATGTTACGTTATTTAAAAAACATAAATAATGTATCCTCTATATGTTACTGACTTACTAATACTGGTATTTTCTTATTAATAACTTCCTCTTTCAATATTGGTAACCAGATCCTACTACATTTTGCCGAGGAATTTGCGACACAATTGGCCTCATTTAGCATAATTAGAGCCGCTTCTTTGATTTAGTTTTTTTTACCATCCGTTTCTTTTAGGACTACATTATTTAGAACCCTATGTTCATTATCCCATGCGTGTTTACAGATTTGAGATCTATCAAATTATTTATTTTTAATATAAGATAGATGTTCACTTATTCTAACATTTAATGGCCTTGATGATTCACCTAAATAAAACTGATTGCATTTACAAGGTATTTTATAAATGCAATTCTTTGTCCTTTCTTGTTCATTGTTAGGTTTGGTTTAGGACAAAATAGATCTCAACGTGTTTGTTGTTTTGAATGTTGTTGAAATGTTGAATTTATTTCCTATCCTTTTAAGTTTTTCTGATAGTCCTTTTATGTACGGTAATTTTATGGAAGGAATTTTCAACAATCGATCGAATAGAACAGAACAACTTAGAACGAGATCCTACAGCATACACAAGGAATAATATGAGGAAAATAACAATACCGTACATAAAAGGACTATCAGAAAAACTTAAAAGGATAGGAAATAAATTCAACATTTCAACAACATTCAAAACAACAAACACGTTGAGATCTCTTTTGTCCAAAACCAAACCTAACAATGAACAAGAAAGGACAAAGAATTGCATTTATAAAATACCTTGTGAATGCGATCAGTTTTATTTAGGTGAATCATCAAGGCCATTAAATGTTAGAATAAGTGAACATCAATCTTATATTAAAAATAAAGAATTTGATAGATCTCAAATCTGTAAACACGCATGGGATAATGAACATAGGGTTCAATGGAATAATTCAAATGTAGTCCTTAAAGAAACGGATGGTAAAAAAGAAAAATCAAAGAAGCGGCTCTAATTATGCTAAATGAGGCCAATTGATTCGCAAATTCCTCGGCAGAATGTAGTAGGATCTGGTTACCAATATTAAAAGAGGAAGTTATTAATAAGAAAATACCAGTATTAGTAAGTCAGTAACATATAGAGGATACATCATTTATGTTTTTTAAATAACGTAACATATAAAATCAGAATTTTGATGTTTGTTGAAGGTAAACTAAATTCACGAACAAATACTTACAATGTCGGGATAGTATTATGAGGTTTTTTTCCTGGTTTTCCCTCATAATTTACTATGGAATCACTAACAGGAGAATTTTACTGTCATCATGTCATGTGTTTGTCTTTTTAGAGACGAATTACATGCTATGATTTTTTTCTGACGGATATTCTCAAGTTCAAGTTGATTTCATGTTTCATCGAATGAACTATCTTATAAGTAAAGTCGTCCCAGGAGCGCAACTCAACAATATTGTTAATATCATTTTAAAGTCGTCTACTTTAAAATGCATAATGTATGTTTGAATTGTCAATATAAATGAGTCAGATAAAATTAAATTATTAGAAGAATTTTTCACTATGTAACAAAAAAAACAAAATTACAGCTATTAGAACCAGGTAACAACTTAGAACGAGATCCTACAGCATACACAAGGAATAATATGAGGAAAATAACAATACCGTACATAAAAGGACTATCAGAAAAACTTAAAAGGATAGGAAATAAATTCAACATTTCAACAACATTCAAAACAACAAACACGTTGAGATCTATTTTGTCCAAAACCAAACCTAACAATGAACAAGAAAGGACAAAGAATTGCATTTATAAAATACCTTGTGAATGCGATCAGTTTTATTTAGGTGACTCATCAAGGCCATTAAATGTTAAAATAAGTGAACATCAATCTTATATTAAAAATAAAGAATTTGATAGATCTCAAATCTGTAAACACGCATGGGATAATGAACATAGGGTTCAATGGAATAATTCAAATGTAGTCCTTAAAGAAACGGATGGTAAAAAAAGAAAAATCAAAGAAGCGGCTCTAATTATGCTAAATGAGGCCAATTGTGTCGCAAATTCCTCGGCAGAATGTAGTAGGATCTGGTTACCAATATTAAAAGAGGAAGTTATTAATAAGAAAATACCAGTATTAGTAAGTCAGCAACACATAGAGGATACATCATTTATGTTTTTTAAATAACGTAACATATAAAATCAGAATTTTGATGTTTGTTGAAGGTAAACTAAATTCACGAACAAATACTTACAATGTCGGGATAGTATTATGAGGTTTTTTTCCTGGTTTTTCCTCATAATTTACTATGGAATCACTAACAGGAGAATTTTACTGTCATCATGTCATGTGTTTGTCTTTTTAAAGACGAATTACATGCTACGATTTTTTTTCTGACGGATATTCTCAAGTTAAAGTTGATTTCATGTTTCATCGAATGAACTATCTTATAAGTAAAGTCGTCCCAGGAGCGCAACTCAACAATATTGTTAATATCATTTTAAAGTCGTCTACTTTAAAATGCATAATGTATGTCTGAATTGTCAATATAAATGAGTCAGATAAAATTAAATTATTAGAAGAATTTTTCACTATGTAACAAAAAAAACAAAATTTGTTTAATTTACTGTTTGTATTTTGAGAACGATTTCCGAATTGGAAATTGAAACGTCAATAAACGTATTTTTATCTTTAATTGTGGCTTATTCCCAGTTTAATAGTAATTAATTTACAATGCCACAAGAAGATAGCTTCAGAACAATGATAAATAAGCTAGCCAATACAATATTATGTAATAACAGGAAGTAACATATTTTAACAAAGTCGTTAGAATACAGCATTGAATTAGATCACATAACAGTACAGTAACCGAAAAATATTAAATGAAAAAATATGAAAAGAATTCGTACATACTTTCCCAAACAAATAGTTTCGGGATTTTATAAAAATCATTAACAGAAATTCTTTGTTACAGATTTGTTACGCTGTGTGCCACATGATGGGAATGTCTTCAGCCTGTTCCAATCCCATTCTCTACGGTTGCCTCAACGAAAATTTCTGGAAGGAGTTTAAAGACATCTTGTGTATAGAGTCTAGTGTTGACACACCCGGTAATTCGAAAAAGGTGTCCTTTCGTAAAAGTTCCCAAAAATCGCAAAACAAAAGTAAGCCAGATCTAGTGACGGGTGCCATGGATTACCAGCCGTGTAACACCGTTAGCACTGACATGACAGTATTGACCAAGTGCTAGCCTTGGAGGAGTGCGTATGTAAATAGTAACAATTGTATAAGAGACGATAAAACTATTGACTGTGTGTGAAACATGATACGAAGGGAGTTTTATAACTTTACAAGAACTATATTAATGACCAATAAGTTAAGTAGTGCACATTACCAGAACAAACATTTGTATGTTAGTTATACATTTTTGTTTTCAATATATAAATAATATTTTAATATTGAATTCTTATTTCATATAGTTTATTTTAATTAAAATATATTTTATTGACGAAACAAACACATTAGATAATTGAAAGGACAGGTGTGAAAAACAAAGGAAGCTAAAACCCCATTACTTAACCCTTATCTGGGCAAGATAAGTCAAATGGGCCCAAGACACCAATTTCTTTATCATAAACTGATAAAAAAAATTATTTAATTTTACGCGTCACTGAATTTATTAAGAAGTATGTTTCCTTCAACATAGTCATGAGCTATTTAAAATCTTTATCATTTTTGAAATTATTGCGTCGAAGAATTTTGTCACATAAAGGGCCACACGGACCCATCGGACCCTATTTGTATTTATACCTTAAGTCTAAATCTTTGTTACAGAAGTTAATCTGGCGGTCAGGTGATGTTTTTGTGGATTATCTAAACGACTTCCGAAACGAAATCCCGGGAATCAAATAATAAAGTCTAAACGTGTAACAAACAATGTAAACATCTCTTTGATGTGGACATCAAAGAGATTCTTATAATAGGTGTTATATCTTTTCTAAATGAATTTTAAAAACTGATAACCATTGTTGGAATGCAATATTCTTGTTAGTTAGGTATCTATACATATTTAAAAATAAATAATACATCTGCTATCAATCGTTTGATATCGATGTTAGTGTCGACAACTAAGTTCCTTAAATTATATTAAATTAGAGTGAAATTAAAAAGTGCGAATAAAAAGTTCCTAAAACCATTATCAGCTGCAGAACTGCAAGATGTTGCTAATAATTTATGGATTTCGATGACGAAGAATCTACTAAGTAGGTGGCATTGACAGTGACTTTAAAATTAAAGATCATCATCAACTGGAAGAATCAACCACAACCGACAGGACGTATGTGATCCTGCGACATAATAAAAAGCAAAGTGGACAAAGTAATGTTAATCCCTGGTCAAAGTGTAGATGATCCTGTTGATTCTTTTTGTTTGTTTATAAACGAAAAAATTCCGTACGAAATAGTGAAATGTACAAATAAAGAAGCGGCAAAAGTCCTGTGGATAGAGAACTGGAAATATTGCGACTCTACAGTGCTATATGCTTTTATTGGACTGCTACTTACTGCAGGGCACCTGAATGCCAACATCTTCTTCTTCTTCTTCTTCACTGGCTGTACAACTCGAGGTAAGTCTTCGCCACATCCACTATCGCCCTCCATCCTCTAAGATCTTGCGCTTGTATTTCCAATACCACTGTCTTAAACACTCTGTCATCCTCTGATCGTAACACTTAATCTGCCCATCTTATTCGGATTGCCTTTTCCGCTGGTTGGGAGTCCATATTTTACTACCATATGTAATAATTGGGCGAATGATCGACTTCTACAATGTTAATTTAGATTTTCTGTTTAGCAGCTTCGATCTTAATAATGTTGACAGGGAGCATGTCGTTTTTTCCCTCCTTGCTAACACCTCTTTTTCTCTGTGGTTGTCAGTTGTGATTATCGGCCCCAGGTATTTAAACTTCTTTACTACTTCGAAGTTGTAATCATTAATACTGATGTTCTGCCTAACTCTTGGTCTTGGATTTTTGGTTACTACCATGTATTTCGTCTTTTCTTCATTTATTCGAATACCCAGACTACCTGTTTCCTCCTCGAGTGGTGAAAACCACCTCTCTCACGTCTCTTGTAGAATGCGTGACTCCATATATATATATACATATATATATATATATATATATATATATATATATATATATATATATATATATATATATATATATATATATATTATAGGCAAAGGCCATATTGCATATTCTAAAACAAAATTGAACAACAACGGTGACAAGGGGTCCCCCTACCTAAGTCCTGAATTTATACCAAATGGCATCGATGTTCTGATTCCTATCTTTACTTGCGCATATGAGTCTGTCACGCACATTTGCGTTAATTCAACTAATTTTCTTGGTATTCCCATTTATAACATTGTTATCCTCAATTTGCTTCTTTTTATGGAAACATGCTTGCTGGAAATCTATGAAAATTTGGTGCACATCGCAGTTGAATTCCCAGCTTGTCTCTAATATTTGTCGGATGGTAAATATCTGATCTATAGTTGACCTTCCAACACGAAAGCCGCATTGTTAGTCGCCTAGAATATCTTCCGAATATGGTGTGAGTCTCTTTAGCAAGATAATTGATAGCACTTTATATGATGTGCTAATAAGCAATATGTCTCTATAGTTTTGGAATTGTTTTTTGTTTCCTTTCATATATATATATATATATATATATATATATATATATATATATATATATATATATTATATATATAGAAATTATAACGCTTCCATTTCATTCTCTAGGTATTTTGTGTTGTTGCCATACTCAGAATGATGTCATACAATTTTTGGTGTAAAAGGTTTCCACCTTTTTTTAACAACTCTCCATTTATGCTATCATTTCCTGGTGCTTTGTGGTCTTTTAGAGAAGCGATCGCATTCTTTACTTCCTCAAGTGTTCTGGCTGGTATTTCGATATCTGCAGAATAAAACGGAATATCTGCTTCCTTTGTCTCACTTTCGATATTTAGTAGATTCCGAAAGTATTTCTTCCATCACTCGACGATTTTCGTTTTCATCATTATAAGTTTACCTACTTTATTTCTCATAGGCTGTGCTACTCCAACACTTGCACCTTTTCTGACTGACTTCACTTCACTAAAGAATTTCCTTATTTGATTCCTCTCGCTACTTTCGTCCATTTCCTGGATTTACTGTTCTAGGTACAGTGTAGCTCCTCTTTTAAGTTCTGAATAGTGGCCTTGCTTGTGCTCTTCTTATATTAAAATCTGCTTTGTTCTCATCTGTGGAGTCTTGTAGCATTTTCAATCTTTTTTTCGTTTTCATTTCCAGAATTTCCTCGCATGCTTTTCTAAACCATTTCCGTTTTGGGCGAGTCCTGTTTTTTCCAATGGTTTCCTTCGCTGCTTGTTTGATAACTGATGCCACTTACTGCCACGCTTGTTCTAACACTACATTATGCTCTTCCTCTCTCAGCAATTAGAATCTATTACTTATTGTCACTTGATAATCCAGTTCTTTATTTGGTGTTTGTAGGGCTTCTATGTTCCATATTTCTCTTTTTTCTTGTTGTCCCAGTTTCTGTATTAATAATCGTGTTCTCAACTTAGATTTCAACAGAATATGATCGCTATCGCTGACAGCTTCTCTCATACTTCGCGAATTAATAATGCTACTAGAGTGCCCTGCGCCAATGATGACATGATCAATTTGGTGCCAACATCCACAATGTAGATATACTTTGGAGTAGGTTTTATGGACCTACTATATTTAAAGCTACCATGGGGTTAAAACGATTCAAAAATTTTCTAAGATTTGTTCGATTTGACAAGAAGGACACGAGGTCTGAATGAAGAAGAAACGACAAAATAGTAGCAATACGCGATGTGTGAAATCAAGCCAACCAAAACTTTTAGAAATACTATTGACCAGGAAAAAACATAACGGTAGATGAGCAACTTGTTCCGTATCGAGGTAGATGTCCTTTCAAGCAGGGTATGCCTTTAAAGCCAGATAAGTATGACATAAAAATATGGTGGGTCTGTGACTTGAAAACATATTATCCTTTAAGTGGAATACTATATACAGAAAAAAAAATGGAAATACAGTAGCCAAAGTTCTTATATCTCAAGTTAAGCCTTATTAGAATTCCAAGGGGAATGTGACTTCTTTTTGTCAACCATTTTCCATCCACTCCTGAATGTATGTCTCTCCCAATTGCTTCCATCTTTCTCTATCTTGCGCCAATCTAATCCACTGTTTGCCTGCCACTGCTTTTATGTCATCTACCCATGTTTTTGAGGTCTTTTCATGCTTTTTTTGTCGTCCTTGGTCTCCATTCTAGAATTCTCTGTGTCCACTTTTTGTCATTATATCGGGCTACGTGATCTGCCAGCGCCATTTCATCTTTGTAATTTCTTCCACAATATCCCTTATCTTCGTTCTACGTCTTATTTCGGTGTTTCTAATCTTGTCTCTTATTGATATAGCAAGCATGATTCGTTCCATTGCTCTTTGCCTCGTTTCTTATTTTTTAACAGGTTTTTTGGTAAGGGCTACTGTCTCCAGGCCGTAGGTACAAACTGGTTTTTCAAAATATATGCTAGTTTACCGAAAGCGCCCCAAGCCAGCTGTGTTCTTCTTTTAATTTCAGCATCTTGATTTGGTTTTCCTAGTTAGATAACATGAGCTAGATATACATAATGTTCAACATTTTCTATGGTATGATATTGTATTGTTATATTTGTCTGGTATTGGCTCAGTATTTTTGAATTGCTGTAGTTCATTTTTAAGCCTACCGCTCCTGAAACTGCATTTAGTTGTTGTTACATATCATTTAGTTCTTGGATATTATCGGCTATTAAAACTATGTCATCTGCGAATAATAATTGTAGTCTTATGGGATTAGTTTTTGTGCTTTCGTCCAGCTTTATTTGCATGGTGGCATTTTTATATATGTTTTTAATTATGTTAGTTATCTTTAATATATACGTGCATTTTCTAGAGATTCAAGTACTGCCCATAATTCGATGGAATCGAATGCTTTGTGGAAATCAAGTGTGCAAGTGGTCTATGATACTAAAATGTTTTTTGAATCCAGCCTGCTCGATAGGTTGATAGTAATCAAGCGTTGATAGATTAGGCGGTTGATTATGATTTTAGTTAGTAATTTATACAGATGTGAGAGCAAGGATATTGGTCGGTAACTCTCGATGTTTGCTTTGAGTATGACTTGCGATAACTATTTTACTGATCTTGCTTTTTGCACATGAATTACTGGCAAATTTATACCAAACAAGGATCATTTAGAGAAATCTTCAGTTTTTGGATTCACTCCAAAAGCATCTCTTGTTTGTTGCTTTCCGAAAAAACAAAGAAGTGTCCTAGTATTTTATACCATTCATCGCAATGCTAACTGTGCAGATTTTGTTGA